GAGACACGGGGGTCGTGAGACGCGCTTACAGCCCTGAACTAAAAAGCGCGACATCTACCAGCTGACTTCGAAACTTCTTGCTTGTTTCCAATCTTCATATCCACATCACAAATATTCCGCTCATGCCGATTCTTTATGTCTTCCCAAATAGCAACTCCAATTTTGTGATCGAAAGTTTTGTAGACCGTTCGTGTTTGCTGTCTTTTCGCTTTGTTTTACAAGCTATTTGCGAGAGTGCATACATCCGAAACATTCCTTGGTGAGTAGCCTTTTGACACACGGAACAAAATTTGCATAATCATTTAATGCGTCCGTAAAGCAGTAGCCATATTTAAAATATAGCTATTGGGGGGTCGTGAGACAACGTTCTCGGGGGTTATGAGACATTCTATTACCGCGTCATCTAGGAACATAAAATTGTATTTTATAGCCTGATATAGTGTTTCTGTACACAGCCAAAACGTTTAATGATAATTTTGATATTTTTGATGGATTCAGTGTTTTTGATGATCGTTTTTTCTTTCTTTAGTCATCATGGTGCGTCATAAGTATAGTCAGACTGCCAAATCTGCGATTGATGTCAAAGTTTTTGTGGCTGCTATAAAAGAGGTTGCTATCGAGAAAAAGTCGAAATCTTTTCAATTTGAATAAATTGTAGACCACAAAAGATGCCTTATTAAAGATTAAAATAAACAATTTTGATAAAATGAAGCCATTTTCATTCTTATAAATTTGTGTCTCACAACCCCCGAACATTGCGAAAATCCATAAAAAACAACTTTTGAGCAGGCAGGCAAAACTTGAAGGTCGAACTAAAATTTCAACTAATTATACTCTTGTCTGAGTGAAATTACACTGAACTATGATTTAAAAATTTGTACGGGCAGAAAAATGGCTTTTCTATTATATTTTTTGTCAAAAAACCAAACCCGTCTCAAAACCCCCCGGTCTCCCCTACTAATTAGCAAAATTGGCTCCCAAATAAATTAATTCAATTCCGACGGCAGGCTAATGAGAACATTTTCGCTACTGAAAATATTATGGATGCTGACATTAAAGCGACAAATAGGAAAAGGAAAAACAAGCAAATGTGTCAGTGTCATTGTCAGATGCAGAGTAAAATACACAAGGACACCAAAGGACACGTACGGGGGCCATAATTTACCGGGAAACAAGAGCCCATGAAATGGGCGCCAGTCCATAAATTATGGCACTTCCCTTACCAAAATGGCTCTGACACTCGATTCCCAGTTAACTGCTGGCCTTTGGGCTTCTGCCAGATCTGACATAATTAATGATTATACTTTGTCGTATTGTTTTCCACCATGTTTTCCATGCATTTAAACGGGATCTGTGAATTTGATATGCACTTAAAGCCAAATGCAAAGCCAAATTGTAATTAAATCACATCCGAAAATCCAATAAGCCCTGCAGCGCTAACAACGATTTATCAATGTCGGCCAAAGGACACTGGTGACACTGAAAACAGGATACAGAATCCAACATCGGTGGACAGGACTTTGGTATTATAGATTATTCGAAACATGTTAACTTGTTCAAACTTTTTACACGCTCTGGATGCCTGTTATTCACGCTCACTGGGCAGCCACACAGGGCGATGAAAATTTTTGGGTAAAGGGGCCTGTGGTCAAAACGAAATGAAGCTGATGCTGCTATTGGACTATAAAACGTAGCTAGCCAACTGTGAACAACAAGAGCACAACAACACGTAGATGAACCCCACGAAAGGGAAAAGTTAAAGCCAGACGGTCCGAAAAGCATTTCAGTTATGCACAGCTTTCAAATAACTTTGAATGGAACTTAATCAATTTTCTGGGGCAGAAGAATAAATATTTGTTGCAACCTTAAAGTGGTTAACGTGTAAAGAGTTAAGGCTGAACTTAAAGACTTAATTCATTGTTTAAACTGGTCATTTGTGAAGCTTAAAGTTGTTATGTCCATATATTTTATGCAAGTTACTTAACAGCAAACAATGCCATTAACATATAAAAGATTCATGAGGACGCTGCCAAAAATTGTGATCGCAAAATTGACATAAAGGATAAAACAAAACGACCAAGGGGAAAACGCTCGCGCAATTGGCACCAATCCAAACAGTAAAATGAAAATGGCAACCGACACTGGATGTCAAGATATTTTTTTCCGTACTTATTTTTTTCGCTTTCATTGTCATTGTTGGTGTTGCAATGGTGACCGTAGTCAACAGGAGCAGGAGGTGAAAGGACGAACCGAAATAGGTTCGCTTTTTGAAATTTATGGTCACAGGGTCCTGCAATAAAAAATTGTTCATTCATAAAAACATTCTTTTAAAATGTTGCTATAGATACGATTTTACACATAAATTATTTTTACAGCCTTAAAAGTCGTTTTTATATTTAGCATCTTTTTTAAAAAATGTCATTTATTGCGTGTTAATAAATTTGGTGTAAAGACTTACAAATTTGAATATTTTAAAATTTTCATAAAATGATAAATTTAAAAAGTTTATAACTTTATGGTACCTTTCATCACCCTGTATAAAATAGAAAACAAAAGTTGATGTTGCAAAATATTGCCAATGGAATTGCCCTCGGGGGTCTTCGGCTGGCAAAAAAAGTTTCGAATTGCCAAAAGTTGATTATATGCTTCAAGGCGTTCGACCCGATTGGAAATTTTTTTCTGGTCTATCTGTCTCTAATTGAAGTGTGTTCTCATGAGTTCTCAAAAGTTGTTGGCAAACTCCTGTCCCGGTTACCGAAGAAGAGTCAGCAGCGGAAAATATGCTACGATTTCTGGGTGCTCATAATTTTATGCAAATGAAATGCGCACCACCAACATTTTGCGGTTTTTCCCAGGCTCACTTTTCGCCCACTTGAGCCATACTAAAAGTGGAGGGACCATGAAACGTGACGGAATAAACACTACACAGTTAAAACACCATAATAATATTTTACTTTTCATGCCTTTTATTTGCGATAAACAGAGTTCAAATGGCTGCACTACGATGACCTCTACTTGTGGCTTCAAAAGCAGCACTCAGAATAAGAGTTTAAATATTTACGAACTGAGGAATTTTTCTGGTTTCTTCATCTTAGAAAGATAGATTTCGATTTATGTGTTTTCCACTCATTTTTTCACTGTGCAACTAACCACACACGTGTATTCCTGCTTCTCAACCGACAGATACGTGTTCTACACCTGCCACAATTACGAGAACATTATCATAGAGGTTGCCGAGGATGGGTGCCCTCAAAAGTATGCTCATAATTTAGCCGGCTTGCAGTAGCCAAAGCTTGGGAAAAAATACTTGAAATGCCACTACTGAGAATTTTTTTTGCATTCCACCCTTTGTTAGTGCAAACTGCAGGCAACTGCACTCCAAAAGAGCCCTCCATCATACGCTTCTCCAGTAGTTGTTGTTATTACACCTTGTATTTTAATGCTTGGTGGGCATATTACATTTATGATAATGTAGAGAGGGTATGGTTTCCAGATCATACACGATATGCAAAGTCTATACATACTAATACAAATCGTACACCTTTTTAATTAAGCTAAAGAAAATATTTAGTGGTTTACATTGCCAAATAGCTGCATTAATGCCTTTAAATAATTTTTCTAATGAACGCAATTTTGATAATTTAAAAGCTTACATATTTTTTACTAAGACTCAAGTTCAAGATTTTATTTAAGTTTCAAATATTTACCCAGCTTTATATTTTTAATGACATTACTTTTAAATAAGGTATCGTACAGTCGTAGAACTCAATCTCTACTTTGTTACTGGCGTTTTCTGTAAAAGTAAAACGTTGTTGAGTTCATTAAAAATTTGACTAAGTGCGTTGTCATCGTCATCATGGCAACCTCTGACCCTGTCTCCCCACGCCAGTGTTCTGGTGCTTGGCATCCTGCACGTCCTTGTCAGAAGTCCTGTGTGTGTATACGTACACGGATGTTTCTGTGCGGGGTCGTAACTGATGTGCGGTAGGCGCGCTTGAACTTAGTCGCCTGACATGTGTATCTCTGCTTTTTTTTCGGTTTTTGGGCTAACCGAAATTGGATTTCGGTGCTAAGCGCACGCAGAATGGTTGAACCCGGATTATGGCAAGATGATTGTCCCCCAAAGTCTGTTTTTGAGGTCCATGAAATATGCAGGCGGCATATGATTGTGACTGGGCAATAAATACGCCACCATAGGAGATATCACTCAAATGGGAATTTTAATTGGGCAGGAGACGTGGCTTTTTAATATCCATTTAATAAATGACTTGAGAATGCTAGATTATGCTATGAAAAATTAATTCATTCAGTCTTTTTTAAATGATAAGTACGATCTGTATCGTTCTTTACTTTCTCAAAAGTTAATGTACAGAATCTTAAGCTCTTAAGCTACACTTCGGTTTTCGTATACTTTTGTAAAAACACAAGCTGTAAACCTCGCATACCAATAATAAATAAAACATCATCATGAAGCTATATTCGCCAGGATCCCAAAATATAAATTTCAATCATCTTCTCAGCCGCAAATAACGAAAACAATTGAGTTCTTAACTCCTTGGCCCAAAACACTGAATAAACCTCTATAAATAAACAGGTCCCAAAGAATACAAAATCTCTTGAGTCAATAAAGCTGTGAATAATATCCATAGGCATCGAAAATGATTTTTGAAACTCTTGGGGTGTGAGTATCTCAAAGATTCTCTTCTCGAAAACTCTTCCGAAAATGCTGAGAATCTGCCTCTCTGTTGTGAATATGCGGCACAAAGGAGAGACGCGTGGGAAATTCAATGGATTCCCTCATGACAAAATCAATAGATAAAGGAAAACCGACGAGAACAGCTGTTTGCGACATTCAAAAGGTAAACAAGAAGAGCCACTAAAAATAGGACTCTCTCTCTCTCTCGGAAGAGAGAAAGAGAGCGAAGAGAAAAGAGAAAGCATTTTGGGGTATGCCAGAAATCCGATTAAGTTTTCACCCATTTTTCAGTTGTTCGCAGCTCTTCGACGTCGGCGGTACGGAAAATGGAAAAGCGCGGAAATTTATAAATCGACCGTCCACATATACACCAGCTCACATACACTCACAAACGTGTTCCATATGTGTAATCAAATCGTTCGGAGCCCCGCCGTTTATATATAGAAAATTTCAAACGCACGCAGCTCGGAGGGAAACTAAAATACGAAAATAAATTACGAAAATCGTGGCCACTTTTCAGAGGCGATATCGAAATGAATAGAATCGCGTTTTCTACGGGTTCGCGTTAATCGCAGTTATTATCGTTATTATTATTCGCATTACGCATACGCCCCGTGTCTCGGTCGGTTGTGTGTGTGGTGAAGAGCGAAAAGAAAAGCACTGCTGACGTCGCAGTCGGCGTTGCGACTCCACCCTAAATTGTATATCAATTTTGAAGGGGTTTTTCGGGTTTCGCGGAGTGTACCGCCTGCTTGACCACAAAACGGGGCCAAATGCCTCGATATAGTCCATATTAGGCAATACCAGTGAGAATCGAATCGAACCGCTGCCTGAGAGACCACAAAACAAAAAAACAAGGAAAATGCGAGAAAAATGTTTGGTTTATGCGAAAAGTTGATGACACATTTCGCTGTCATTTTGACCGCATTTTTCCTCTCCCAGCCGCTATTGTTGTTGCTGATTTGCGGGCCGCATGGCGGCATCTCCCCCTCGACCTCCACCCACTGGGCGGAGGCCTCGGCGGCGGATGAAGCGTAAGTGTGCCACCCACCAGGTGGAAATTGGTCAGCGCATTTTTACATTTAACGGACACGCAAGGATACTGGAATGGGGGGAACTTTGAAAACCAGTCAATTAGGCGGCGTACACGCCTCCTTCATCTCGTTGTCAACGGTGCTCGTTAATTTTTCGTACATTTTATGCTAATTTTGTTGGCAGCCGCCGCTCCTCGCTCGCGGCATTTTTCTTCTACGGAAAATTCCCTGTAGGCATTAAATGGGCTTATTCGGCTGCGGGCTGTGAATGGGCTGATGTTCACGCCAAGCGAATTTGGGTTACATGTTTTTTTATTATTGTAAAAGAATCATCTTTAGGTAAAAACGAAAATTGCATTTAGAATTAAAAAGCATACAGAAATGTTGACACCATTTTAGGGATTAACTGTAATATACATATAACACAATTATGTCCAAAAACAATTGTTTGCGTTAACAAATAAAACTGAACATTACATTTTCTTGGTACTTAGTTTGCTAAGCCTTCATTTCATAATAATTATGAATAGTTATTTACAGACATTTTGGCTGAATAAATTCAGAAGAACTTATATGAGAACAATAAAACGTAATGCTGACAAATTACAATTTTGATAATGAACAGAGTTTGGCATCTTGACTTGGACTTTCCCACTTTCATTTGAATAAGTAATTGTATTAACTCATGAGATTCAGCTTACGTTGCTTTTAAACGATGGAAATGCAAATTACATATTTGCTGCATGTGCGTGCAAATGTAGGTTCGTGGAAAGCTGTATAGTGCAGCTCTCACAAATTACTGGTGTTTAATTAAGGCTCAAAAACAAATTGCTCATCGATTGGTATACACTTGTTTGTTTAAACGAATACATGAGCTTAACTAAAAATCTAAATGCAAATAATGCTTAATTTAAATGTGTGAAACAAACTACTGATTTAAATAAATGTTAACTACGTTGCGCCAATTTTTTTTAAGGTATTCTAAAGGTCGATCATTTTTTAAAATTTATTCGCATTGCGTGTTTTAGCGTCTTGTCTTTTGTTTCGAGCATTTTTATTTTACTTTGTGCCTTAGCTTATTTTACCCACAATTACTCATCCCGCTCCCTAAGATGTTTCTCTCCCTGATATTTCCATTGCTCGAGGGTCGTAGCTCTTTGCAATTTTTGTGTTTTACCCCAAGTTCTCATAAAGTCACATTAAAATTATTTGTCTGACATGCTGACTTTGGTAATGACGCGAACAGGTAGAACCGGTGGAACCTCTGACGCCTATTTACGCTAAATGAATATTTTATTGGACATTTTGTTTGGGCCCGCCAAACATCATGCCAAAAGTTACGCAATTAATTAAAGTAAATGGGGACTGGGGTAAACCAGAGGTTGTATGTTTTTTTGACGACGTTTTGCTAAACACTTTGTCGTAAAGAGTTTCAGATTCAATTATGAATATATAAAATTAAAATTTAAAACATATTAACCACATACTTCTCAAATAGATTAAAGTTTCCATAGAAATGACCCAAACAGCACTCGGGAAATCATAAAACTGCCAATTTTAATACTGCAGATTTCAACGTTGATCACCTACAAACGATTGTAATGGGAATATTAACGAACCTACATTCAACATTTTCTCGCTTCGACAATTTTAGTCCAATTTCAAAGTGGCACACCTCCGAATGTTAATAATCGAAATCTTAATGTTGGTCAAATTTCTGCTCCTATTCATGACAGATTTTTAAATTTTCGATGGTTTCCCATAATGGGACACAAAAATGGACCACCAAAATTTCTAACTTCGACAGTTTTAGTCCGATTTAAAAGGGGCATACCCCAAAACGTTTTCATTTATTAGTGGTTGAATTTTTTACCCCTGTTGTGTCAGATTATTCCAAGTTTTCCATTGTTTGCCATAAGGTAACTTAAAACGGGACCACCAAAACTTCTAGCTTTAATCATTTTAGTCCGATTTAAAAGTGGTATACCTGTAAACATTTGTAATTAGATTCTTAAAAAAACTGCATTGCAAATTGTTTATTTGAGGATGATCGAATTTTCTTTCATGACTAAAACTTCGAAGTTTTCAATGGATGGCAACAAGGTGACCCAAAACAGCACTCCAAATCACATATCTTAGCCGAATTTATTCTGATTTCAAAGTGGGATACCTCCAACGTTTGTATTTGTATTGTTAAAGGAACAACATTTTAATTTGTTTATTTGATGCTCGATTTTTTGACCCATATTCAAATGACAAACTTTTAAATAAGTGTGACAACATTAAAAAAGTTGTTGAACACATGGGAAAGTTATAAATAGATGTAGATCGCTTTAGGATTTTGGAAAGCCGAAAAAAGCAAACACACTAAATGTCCCATAAAATGTTAGCAAGGCCACATAAATTATAATAAAGTAAATGTCCAATTAGCCAACTACATGATGAGAGAATAAATAATCAAATATTAAAGACCGAAAAACCCCATAATAAAATTTCCCCAACCAAATTAGCGCTACCAAATAGCCACAAAATTGTGGCCTGGACAAAGGCAGAGACCGAAAATCGTTTAATGTCCGTTTGCATTACAAAGAATATTAAATGGGAAATAAGGACTTTTTGCGCATTGCAGCACGCTGAGCATTAATAGAATATGGCTATTTAAGCCCGAGGGAACCGTAATAAAAATTCAATCTAAAATTTTAACAATGCCGAAATTGAGTTTGGCATATCTTATGAAAAATTGAACACGTTTTATTTTTCTGCTCGGCCCGCAACAATGTACAATATATGTGTGAGCAAATAAAATCATTTCAGTTCTGATTCATACAGATTTATACAAAAAATACAAGTACAACTGCTGTTAATATTTTTAATATGATTACGTCAAATAAATCTTCCCCCACGCTGCCAAATGATTTCCGCTTCAAGTGTCTTGTCAAAAGTTTCTGTGATACCAAGATTTCATTTACGTTTTGAGGGCACTTCTGCGACCTCCTGTAAATGATGTACATATTTCATCCGAGTACTTTTGTGGTTGTGGCCAACAAGGGCCATCTAAAACAATGTCGGACGAGATACGACAAAGCAATGTGGACAAATTAATAGAACAACTCCAGAATGTAATAAAAGCCAGAGAGGCATTATTCATTTCCAACTAACAACCAGCGACAAAAACAATTTTTGCCGAGCGCCGACCGGGCCAAAACACTCGAGGGTGTCGGTGTGCGTTCGAGGGCATTTTGTGGGTTGTGTTTCGGGGTGTTTCGCTGGCGCTGGCGGAATAACTGTGTCAAAGGCAACGTCGGCGGCACAAGTGAAATGAAAATGGCCGAAACAGCGCCGCCGGCAGAATCGGCGACATCAAAAGCCACGTCAAGAGATTCCCGCACTAAAAAGAGCCAAAGAGCGGTATGATATAGTGCGGTCATGCGCAGGCTGCCGATGCCTTTGGATGTTTATAGTAATGACAAACTCTCACGCGAACAGTTGTCAGGCCAGTGCAATCCACTAAATACATTTTTAATATGTTTCCCAAAATACACTAACGACTTTAATACATTGTATGAAATTAAAAAGATTGCAAAAACCTTTATGACAAATTCAAGGAAACTTTAATACTCTAGTGTAACTATAAAGAAAATTGCTATTCACACCATAAACTTTTGAAAAACATGAACATTGTAAAGCTTGTTTTGAAGTTGATTGAATTCATTTTTTTTATTTAATTAAAACCCACAAATTGTTTTCTAGGCATTGAAAGTGTTGTTAAAATGTTCCTTATTCCTTAATCAATTTGCTTAACCTATTTTGATATATTTACTATATTAGGCGTATAAGTTAATGGTTGTTTATCATAGTCACAAGAAATCCATTGAATTTAAAGAGTTCTGCGTGTTTTTTAATACAATTCGCTATGTTTTTTTTAATATTCTGTGTCTTCAATACATTTTTAGTTCGTTCGTCAATGAAAGTAGAGTAAATATACATATATAGTAAGTAGACTTTAAAAGGGATTTTCGCTTTGGCTTTAACAAAAACTATTTAATGCCTTTGGCATACGTCTTACACTGTCTCTAGAAAAACTAAACCCCCCAAATTTTTACAATCTATCGTTAAACTTTTTATTGCTTATCGCATGCATTAACTAATGGAATCGTCCCGAAAGCATGCTATATCTTTAAGAGAACTCGTTTTTTAAGAGCATCAGGAAAGAGAGTAGAAGAGAGAGAAGCTGCGCGCGCAGGCACTTGTTGATTTCTCAACATTGAACAGCTGTTCGTGGTGAAAGGTCCAATTCGCTGCGTCCTCTTTTGCGGCCAGGTGGGGAAGGCATAAAAAAAAAAGGTGCAAACACCACCCACCGCCCAACGCCCCTGCACGCCACTGGCTAACATGTGCGCTAATTGAATTAGTGGAACTCGGACAGGTGGTTGACATCTCACAGGCGCATTTCTGACCTACACGAAGTATTGTTAACATTTCGCTCCTGCAGGGGGACATTTTTTACAAGCAAAGATTTTTTTAACCAGTGTATGAATTAAAAGGATTTTTAGGAAAAAATTTAAGTGGGTTAGATGTGCTTTTACATAAAACCATTAATTAAAGGAAATATAAATTCAAAAATCCCCATTATTATATTAAAGTATACTGCCCTTATTTTCAATGATTTTTTTGTTCCATTCAAGTGTCGGCAAGTGGGCCACCCAGTTTGGCGAGGAGCTGTACGAGTTGGCCAAGAAGATCACCAAGTCGCAGGAGATTAAGGAGAAGTACAAGGAGTACAATGCCCGCGTGGAATTAAAGAACGGCACTGAGCTAATCAAGTCGATCACTAAAAATGTAGGCAGGATGCTGGCCAGAAAAATGGACGCGGTGCGATGTATCCAGGAGCGGGCGGAATCCGTTAACGCCAACTTCGAGTTCAATCTGACGTACGCCCTGCAAAACTTTTCCTATATATCCAGCAAGTATTCGGCCTTTAATGGCAACAGTTCCGAGGAGCTGTCGCCAAATGAAGCCGAGTTTGCCCGAATGTATGACGATATGGAACTGAATCCGGACACCCACTTCTACAATACACCGGTGGACACGGAACACAGTTCGGTGCATGTGCCCTCGAATGTGTGGGATCGTTCGACCGAGGTGCTCAAGACCATCATGTGGTCCGAGCAATTGGACGAGGTCTTCCGTCAGAACTACCAATCGGATCCGGCGCTATCCTGGCAATACTTTGGCTCCGATACGGGTATCCTGCGTCATTATCCGGCTGCTCAGTGGCAGGAAACGAGAGCAAATCGAGATGATGCCGATACCTATGATTGCCGGAAAAGATCGTGGTACATCGAAACGGCCACGTGCTCAAAGGATATCGTCATCCTGTTGGACTATTCGGGTTCGATGACTGGTTTTCGGAGTCACGTGGCCAAGTTCACCATCCGCAGCATCCTCGAGACGTTTTCCAACAACGATTTCTTCACCATTTTGGCCTATAACGAAACCGTGATCGATATCATACCGTGCTTTAAAGGGGCGTTGGTCCAGGCCACACCCGAGAATATTGAGGTGTTCAATGATGCCATTCAGGAGTTGAAGAACCCGGGTGGATACGCCAATCTAACGTTGGCCTACGACACGGCCTTCCAGCTGCTGCAAAAGTACTACGATAGTCGGCACTGCAGCGCCAATTCCACCTGCAACCAGGCAATAATGCTGGTCACCGATGGCGTGGCCGGCAATACCACCGAGGTCTTTCAGAAATACAACTGGGGCAACGGCGAGAACGGAACTTTCCATATGAACACTCGGATCTTCACCTATTTGCTCGGAAAGGAGGTCACCAAGGTGCGCGAGATCCAGTGGATGGCCTGCCTGAATCGGGGTTACTACTCACACGTTCAAACCTTGGACGAGGTGCACGAGGAGGTCCTCAAGTACGTCGACGTCATTGCCACGCCCCTTGTTCTGCAGAACGAACAACATCCGCCCACCTGGACGCACGCCTTCACCGATAGAACGGTAAGTTATTAATCTTCACTAAAATTAGTTAACTATAAAGTGAATGGGATCTAAAAAGTCAAAGGATCTTAAGATATTAGAGTATCATTTTATAGTTTTATAATGAAATTATAGTAGGGTTAATTAATAATATTTTATTAAATGAAATCCAATTTATATGTTGAATTTTTCTTATAGTACGATCCCAAGACGTCGACAGAGCGACGACCTCGCCTTGTGATAGCAGTGGGAGTTCCCGCCTTCAACCGCTTCTATCGGCAACCCAATGCCACCGATACGAGGGCCCGTTTGCTGGGAGTCGCTGGAACAGACGTGCCCGTGGAAGATATAGACAAGCTGACACTACCCTACAAGGTACATAAATAAAACATAACTAATATTCTTTGGTACTAATGAGCACTTTCTTTCAGTTGGGGGTAAATGGTTATTCCTTTGTGGTATCCAACAACGGCTATGTTCTGCTGCATCCCGATCTGCGACCCATGGGCGTAAGTTATTTCTTTATATTTATATTCATATATTGTAATTTTTAACAATTTTTAAACTGTTTCTTTCCCAGACCAATGGACGATTGAATCCCAACTACAACAGCATCGATTTTACGGAGGTGGAACATCTCTTTGACGATACAAGTCCTCGTGAGCCTGGCGAGTCCATTCTAAATATTCGCAACGCGATGGTGCGCCACGAGAGCAACGAGTTCCTGGGAATACCGGTGAAGTTCCACTACGACAAAATGCGGCGCGTTTCCAAAGAAACGCAGGATTATTTCTTTGCCCCGTTGCCGAACACACCGTTCACTTTGGGAATCGTAATGCCAAGCGTTTATGGCAAAACTTGGATTAAAGTTGGCGAGGAGGTGGACAAGAATAAGCACATGAAAATTAATATATCCGATTTCTTTATGGGCGATAACTGGAAGGTTCATCCCGATTGGTGGGTATTGGGTTTTTCTGTAAATCAGATTATTTTAATGCTGCTTATTTAACAGGGTTTATTGCAAGTACCACTATCTGGAGGGACACGAATTCAAGACTCCGGAGGCTGAGTTGCGCGAGTTTCTGGGCAAGATGGTTCAGAATGATTGGAAGTGGCCGGAACAATATGCTGAGGACGAATCTGATTGGGATGATAAAGATGATTGTAAGTATCTTAATCGTAAACGGATCATAAATGTATATAGAAAACTCAATTTTATACTTAAATGTAATTTTATTTTTCTCTAAGTGAACTGTGGCCGCAAAACGCTGGGTGACGATGCCTACTATTGCAACAAGGAGCTGGTCCATCTGCTCATCTTCGATGCCAAGGTAACGAACTCCAGTTACGGAGTGTGGCGATTTGAGAACGATGAGGAGCGCCAGTTGATAGAGCGGTTTGGTGCCGATCTGCGATTTGTGGCCACCATGAGTGGCTTGACCCGCTGGCAATTCATTTTCGGGGAAGTGGAGGTGGACACGGATCGGGAGTTCGGCGACTACCACACCACGGCCATCGATGAGACCTGGTACAAGAGCGCCATCCTGCAGCACCACGAGGATCGTTCCGAGGGCTTTGTCTACTCGGTGAAGCACTACAGCGATCCCATGGAGGACAGCGAGGTCAAGGTCACCGCCTCACACGCCATCTTCCCGAGGGACGGCGGCAAGGAGGCGCCCGCCTGCGTGGTAGGATTCCAATTTTCCCACGCTCGCATGTGGGAGCGATTCTTTAACATCACAGCAGTGGATCATGTGAGTTCAAAATTCACTAGTATAATTGTAACTTAATCATTTATCATAATAATCATAATTGTATTTGCCGGATACTTAGTGATTCCTATAAATTAATATTCTATTTAGCTTAAAAATGTATTTAATTTATTTATATTTTTTATACTTTATTTAGTGCAAACGATGCTTGCCCATTTGCACGGACGACGATGTTGATTGTGTGGTGATTGACAATAATGCGTACATCGTGATCGGCCAGAATATTAATACCACTGGCAAGTTCTTTGGCGAATTCCATGGCGATGTGATGGCTGAGATGGTGGACAAGGGCATCTTCCAGAGCATCGAGGTCTACGATTACCAGGAGCAATGCAAGGAGGAGCCAAAAGCTGGTAGCGATGGCCACAGTCTACTGCATGTAAGATATTTATTATTTACCTAACATATATCCCAAAAAAAGTATATATTTCATTTTTTTTAGCCCCTTCGACTTTTGAGTTTTGGCTGGAAATGGCTAATTGCCGAGATTTTCTTTCAATACCAAAGGATTCAGTGGTGGGCAGATGGAGCGCCATGTAAGAATTTATACATTTTTTTAACTTAACTTTTTCGTGCAATATTTAATCTTTAATTTACCCATTTCAGTTATGGAATACACGGATGAAATCGAGGATGAGTACGTAGCCGTGGGCGATGGCGGAAAATCTTCGGCATCTAAGCCAAAGGACAGCAGCGATGACGAAGATGCCCTGTTCGATGAACCCGAAAAGGAACCCGTATACAAGGCCTGTGACATGCGATCCACGTTGTATGCCCTCAACCCAAAGGCTTTAGTGGGTATCAACGACGTCGTGGAGGCGCCGTCAACGAGACCGTTCCATGTGAAGAAGATCCCCAACTCGAATCTTCTGCTGGTGGTGGTAAATGTCCTTATGCCATCGCGCAACGTTCGCCTGACCACCGAGCCCCAGCGAATGGAGTATGGCAATGAGTTTCCTTGCTACAAGCTCAACATGAGCTTCTACGAACGGCGACGCATCGAAGAGTGCTACACGGAGCACGAGGATGTGAGTATTCTAGGGGAATATTTACCTCTAAATATGTATATAACATTTACCTACCTAGTCCTCACTTGTCACAAATATGCCTTCAAAAGATAATTATGTAATTCTTTTTTGATTATTTAATTTTAGTTAAACAAATTTAGATTCAACTTCTGATTTATATATAAGATTTTTTCAAAAATGTACCTAATCCTCAGTTGTCATATGTTGCCTCCAGAAGTTGATGATTTAATTCTTCTTATCCATATTATTATTATAGAGTATATAATATTCCTATATTATTTATAGGAAACTTTTGTTGATTTTATTACTAAAACTATAAATGTTTGTTTACTTTTAGGAGGAACTGTACACCTATTGCGGCAATGCCTCGCGGCTGGGTTTGACGCTTCAGCTGCTGCCGCTGACCATTATTTTAATATTTTACCTGACGCACAACTTTATGCGTTAGGAGAAATATGTACACAAAACTATATATTATACAACTATTATGTACTATACGCGACTACGATCGGTTTGTTGTTTATACATATACATATAAATATATATATTTTTGTTTTTATAGATTTTAAACTATGCCGTAGTCCAATACTTGTCGAATGTTTAACAACAACGCAAAGCAAACCAAAACTGGCACAATCTTCGGTACTAAAAAACCACTTTAAGCAAGAACAATTTCAACTCTTAGACTTACAAACTGCGCCAAAAGTTACGAAACTGGTCTTACTTTATTTTATAAATGTAGTGATTTGAAGGAGGCTGCTGTTGACAGAGGAGGCAACTTAAAGACCAACCATTTAAACGAGGAACCCCTTTCACACGATGAGTTTCCTTTTCCCCAGCTCCTTCAACAGTTTCTTAGAATATTAAAAAAGCAAAGTTTTTTATATACCTAACGCCTATAGATAAAAAAAAAACAACGTTTCACTGACTATTTTGATAGATTAATATGGTACAACCAATGCCAAATATTAAATGAATAAATTAGCAAAAATTAGTAAAAGCGAACAAAAATAATTCGAGTGACAATTATTTTTGTAATTTTATAAAACTTAGTTGATTTTTTACAACAATAAAAACGTATGAATATGATAATAGGAGTAAACGATGAAAGAACAAAAACAAAACACAAAACATTTACTCTTATTATAAATATTTTGTTATTTGGTCCCAGGCGAAAAATGGGAAAATGGTTTTCTTTTGAGCACACAGCCAAAAATCGGTTTACAAAAGATAATATTAGTATATTAGTGTGGCAACAATTTTTTAATATGTTCCCTCCCTGTTTTGTAAAGTGTATTTTATTGAATATAATGTTTTTAAAACGGCAAAGTTAACGCACAGATTTATAAAAACCAAATATAGGACCACCTGTAAAGTATGCAATACTTCTTCAATGCTGAGTTCAAAACCCATCTATAATTTACTGCTCTCTTCTGGCCTTACACTTAGTCAAAAAATTTAGCAAGATTTACACAGAAAATGGAACGGAAAACTAAACCTAATATGAATACCAAAACCTAATTGCCTTTGTATCGTATTTCGAATGTGGAAACAATTTATGAACTTTATGAATTTATGCATAGAAACCAAAAAAAAAAGGATAAACAAAAAATGTAATATTATAAAGAAGACAAGTTAAATTAAGATAATTTTCAAGGAAATGAAATCAAAATGATGACGGCGTTTTTAAAGCTGAGCTAAGATGCTAGGATGAATGGAAAATGAAAAGAAAACAGTTAACTATTAAATGTAATTTTTTAAACAAACTGAATTACTAATACAACATTTATTTTTTGGAGTGTTTAAACGTTGTAAATTATAAAAAGAATTACATAAGTAAATCTAGTCATTATGGTATACGTGGATTTGCCGCAAGTTCATCATCTAATTAATGTTCATCTCTATGAGTTATTGACTCTTTTTAATCACATTTTATTCAATTTCGACACGTATACACAAGGTATATGACATGTCCACTAAACTTAAAAACGATAAACATTTTAAATTTCCTTAGCAAAATAAATGAACTAATCGTCAACATATATTTTATAGTGTTTTATTTGATTTATGGTGTACTGATCTGGTAAGAGTTGTTATAAACGGTTACTTAATCGATTGATTCCGCGGCATAAAATGGTTTCAAGTTCAAAGCATTTTAGAGCAGAAAATCAGCGGAAAATTTATACAAGTCATATTATTGCCAGTGAAAGTGAGAACTCGTTGCTGTTTTAACACGGTCGGCAAAATACTTTTAAAAAGGTTAATATATAGCAATATTAATTTTAATATTAAGTATTTTTTCAAATACTATTGCAGCAAGCGTAAGTAAAAAAATACATGATTTTCGTTTTGAATGTAATATTAATTATTATTTTAGAATACTGATTTTGTTTCGGATGGCCTATATAGAAACGACCAAAATAACCGGGTTAATTTTCCTTACCCAAATCACAGACAGAGATCTTTTATGTCAAATCAAGAAGAAAACATGGAACATTTTCCACAAAAACGTCATCGAAGAAAATATAAAAAACCTTGAATAGTGGAGAGGCCACATAAGCAACAAGAATTGTTACAAGAAATTCGTGACCAAGAAGAATTTGTTGACTCAAATGAAGAACATCAAGATCCCCCCCATCGGAAGGAAGTTACGAGTCCCCAAATCATTATCATGGATATCAAAACCTTAGACCTTATCACGTTTTAAAACGTGATGCAGAGAAAAATTTAATCTATGAAGACCAAGGTAAAGAGGACCAAGATCTGGATGACGTTTTCAGCCAAAGAAGAAATACAAAGCAAGAAAGAAATCTGAATTTACAGAAAATACCCCTACAGGACTCCCGGGAAAATCTTTTTCCACCAGAACACCGTCATCAGAATGAAGATGTTTATGTAAACAGCCAAAAGCATCTGGAACCCGAGCTTCTCGGATAACTGGTTCAAGTTCAACAGAAAATGCTAGATATATCATTGGAAATAAAAATCGAGAAACTGTGAGTCCCCGATCCAAACCTGATCAAAAGTTTGTAGATGACCACAATACTTTCGAACCAAAATTTCGATCTGGTGGGGAGGATCTGGAAGAATCAGAAAATACCCTAGGCAAGGCAACTAAACTGGTCCATCAGTGGGCCGAAAGTCTTTAACCGAGATCTTAAAAGCAAATAATTTCGAACAAGGCTCCAAGAACGTACAGTCCCAATATCAAATATTACTTGAGAAAAAAATCAATCAATTGATTGATTCAATAAAGCAACTACGAGAGGACTATAAGCTATAGGATTTAAAAAACGGAAGTAAAACCAACGAGGACAAAGAAAAATCAGAGACAGCTAAACCTTCAGATAAGGAAAAGGACAGCTGTGAAGAATCAAACGATAAATTGGATAAAAATAAGAAAATTGATAATTCGACGGTCGAAGAAGAGTCAACAACGCAGAGCTCTGTTCTTTCTAATTCTACAATTATGCCAGTAACAGGCGGCGCTTCGACTCCTTCCATATCAACTCATGAACATGAAACTACAGGGTTGCCCATATTCGACGGACCCATGTTTTTTTTTTAAAAACCATTTCAACCAGAAAAAAAACAAAAATTTGGCGGTTGGCAATCTTAATCATTTAATTTGTTCCAAGTAGATTTGTTTACATCAATTTTTGAATATGATATCTTCCAAATGGCCGCCTCTGACGTTGATGGCGTATTGTGCCCTTTTTGCAGCAAACAAAATTATCATGTCCGATGAAGCCCATTTCAAATTGAATGGGACCGTAAATAAGCAAAATTGCCGTATTTACGCCACTGAAAATCCTGAGATTTCACTTCTTTCCACAACAATTAAGCCAAATACTTACAAAAGTGCGAGCTTGACCATGGAGGAATTGACGAAACTATTCGACGATTTGGAAAGGCTATATAAAATATTGCTAGGGGATAACGCTAAGATTACAACTACTACAAAAGAAGATTCCACTAGTTTTTCAAAATCACATTCAACCATTCCTCCTCCAATAACATCAGAGGGTCGTACGACTTCAGGCTTTCAAGTTGATCCACATAATAAAACGGGAAGTGAAACCTCACAAATTCATAATAATTTGAATCTTCAACCAGTTGTGGACGCAATTCAGCAATTAAAGATGGCAATATTTCATGATTTTAATGCCTTCAAAAAAGATTAAGACGAAAGGTACACATTAACCCTTTTTAAAAAATATATTAATAATATTAACTTTTCATAGAATGGAAAAACTGACCCAACTGCTTAAAGAGCGTGAGAGTGATAAGAAAAACGTTGGTAAGCGGACAAACCAGAACGCTACACCTAAGAACGATCAGTTGGAGGGAAGGCCGGAAGAAAAAATGTAAGCTATCCTTACACTACAAGTTAATCGTGAATTTCATTAAAGTTAGCAATGAAATTTTAGAGATTTTATTATTTTAAACAAATAATTCTTACAACCAATTTTTTAAAAACTTTTTACAGGGAAAAAAAGATCGATGAGATATTGGAAACAACAAAAGGTTTAAAAGAAAGTGAAGAATCTGAAGATGAAAAGAATCATGAAGTCACCACACAATTTCAAAATATAACTCAAAAACCTAATCACAATATTAATAATGTTACTGTCATTAACAAAAACAATACTACAACTCTCCCAACAAAAAATATGCAAACAACTTTAGGATGGTCAACTTTGAAACCTCAAAATAAGTGAGGATTTTAATAAGAAATTTAAACCTACCTAAATGTTATTACATCATTTAATTTTTAATTTGTTGATGAAAATTATGAAGAAATGATTACGCCTGGAAAAGTATGATAAAATAAACCCCACTTAAAATATTTAAGTGTTTTTTACCCAGTATCCGATATTTTTATTAATTAAGTTCCTGTATTTAGGTAAAATGCATAAGAAATTTTCAAATATATAACTTTATTTTTGGAGAAAAGGGACAGGGGTACAAGTAACTATGTCAGTAACATGGATGCCTCGGATTGCAGTTGAGGGGTTGGACATAATGGACTATGAACTGGTGGCGGCACTAAAAGAATCTGCTGCCAAGGCTGGCTTATATTATTTATATAATATTGAATTGAATGGGTTTTTTATTGAAGGAGGTGGGTCAATTTCAAATGGACCTTTAGGATACGGCCTTGAGGTTTGATTTATTGGTAGGGAAAGAGGATCTAAATCATTTGGAGTAATATTGCGTTCAAGTGGCAATGGGGCAATTTTTGAATTTTCTGGTGGTTTTGTTGGTTTTGCTTTAATGACTTTTGTATTACCGAATGGAGAATCAGTCGAAGTTGCGTTTCCAACAATTAAATCGCGTTTCACAAATTCCTCTTTGTAATCTGTGTTTCCGTAGATGCAGTTGACTATAATTACAGTGTCCGCTTTACCATTATTCACAGCTGCAATGTTATTATTAATGTTCGCACAAAATTTATTCGTAGAAGAAGGTTTTGTTGTAGGAAAATTCGGATTGGGTATAACAGGCACTGGATAAACATCTGCTGATCGAGCACCGAATTTGTTTTTGATCTTTAGCCCAACTATATTTGGATTAGGTATTGTTTGGACAGCGGCTGAGATGTAAACGACGCTCTCGTCCTTTTTTAGCTTTAAGCAGATGTAATTGTATTAAAAACTTTCAGAACTGGGTATAAACTTACTTGATCTTTGCTTTGGGTATGTGGCACCAAGAAAATAAAAAAGAATATATGGTTCCATCTCCACATCTCGAGCTTTCCTCAACTGTAAGTACCGAACTAAAAAAAAACTGTAGCAATATCGGATAAGCTTTAGTACTTCTAATTCGCAAGAGAGTTCAGAACGAATTAATTACCCTTTTGAATTTTTTGCACATTCGTAATAAAAGTAAAAGTAAGTTATGTCATGTAATAATAATAGATGAATTTATTTCACAATATAACATTTTTAAGCAACGGTTTTTTAACGCTTTTCTTTAACAATGATCCGTTCGACCATTTTTGACAGACAGTCTAAAAATGATTCTTCAAAAAGTAGAATTGTGTATATATTTCTTGACGTAATTCAGTGCCATCAGATTTCTGAAACGAAAAAATTAACCTCAAATGTCTTGCTGAAATAGCAAATAAAATTATTGTTAATATATTGGCATACAGAGCGGTCTTTAGCTAAAAGAAAAAAATAAACATTAGATTTAACTATATTAAACTTCATGTAACTAGCAAACCATCCTTGAAACTGCTGAAAACAAGACTAATTTTTACGGTACACGGGTAGTTGATCTCCGAGAAGTTCAAAAATAGTAGCCTTATTTAATTTTATTTCAAATTCCTTAGTAATTCGTTTAATATATGGAATTTAAAATTATCTTACGTTGTTTTCTTTTCCGTAGAAAAAAAAAGAGAGAATGTACTTCACATTTCGAATGTTTTTCCTAACTGTAAATACTGAATTGAAGTTTAAAATAAAACTTTATATATCCTAAACTTACCAATACCGCGCCTATTTAACAAATTTACTTAGAACGAATGAATTATAAATAAATACAGCTCGCTCTATTTAATTTGAAACCCATACTAACTTCTTTAGAAAATCAACTAAATAGCAACAGTTTAATTTTAATATAGATCATTTTTATTTCCTTGTAATGACTAACATTTTAAAAAATTACAATTCAATATTTTGGATAAATTATTTTGTAAGCATTATTTTTGTTTTTATTTTCGGCTTGTGTATTTTCTTCGTGCTTTTGCATCGCCTTCTTCTCACACACTATAATTTGTTAATTTGTTGTTTACAATAAGGTTTAATTTTTTTTCATGTTCATTTTCTCAATTTTTTTTTTTTTTATCGCTGCTGGTTTTGAAGAAATTTGTTATTTACTTGGTTGCTGCTCGCAATTATTGAGTTTGAATGTATGTAGTCATTAATGTAAAACTTTGTAGCGCTATTATACATTTATATATATTTCACACATATATGTACAAGAAGTTATGCATATATGTGCGAGGCTGATTGGTATTGTAGTGTTCAAATTAGCAATGTCTTTAGCATATTAAAAAAGTTTTAATGTAAATGAATTTATTTTTCATAATGAAAGTTTAAAATCAAATAACTACATATATCAATATATGCTTTGCTTCGTTGCTAGCTATAAAGTGCCCACATTATATAAAAAAGAAAAACAGTAAAATAGAAATAAAGCAGATATTCAGGGCTAAGATCCAAACTAATATACGATTAAGTACATTGTTCCGTGATTTTTGCTTATGACTGTTAAGTAGATATTTTTTCCTCACCCTACACTTTTTCTAGTTAGCTCTCTGAATAATTTTTGCAGTAATTCCTTTTGTTTGCTGATTTTCTGTTTTACATTTGATTTATTTATATCAGAATAGGTTGCTCCAGAACAACTGTTTTTTACTCGACGAGCCTTCTACAACCATTTAATGGGGTATATGGGTCGCTCATAATTAAGTATTTGCGTATAAGTCTGTTTTTATATGCTTTAGGTACAAAATTATACTCTTTTTAACTTGTGTAGGAGTGACTGAATCAAATGGTAAAATAACATTAAATTACATTAATTATTACATACAAATTACACAATTGTTGCCAATACATTTCAATTTGAGATTTGAGGAATTAATAATTACTGGGCTGGGATTTAATTTCTCTGTCTATATATTTTTGGGGTCTCTGTAGTACTCATCTCTCATTTTGTTGCCTATCAATTCATATTTCTTTACTTGCTTTCCTATCCGCTTGCTTTTTTTTGTTTTTGAAAAAATGAACACTTTTTATCTGGTGGGAATATACATATGGTTTTGGAAATCTATTGCACAGAACATGAATTCTTATGGCCATTTTTGTGCTTTAGTCGCGCCTTTGGCTTGTATTTTTCCAAAAAGGATAGCTGCTTGGCATTGATGGCGCCACGTCGTTTACTGAAAAAATATAAGTGTTAAATAATTGCAACCTCCTGGATTTTTTTTTGAAAAACTTACTCTCTAATCATTTCCACTGCTGCCTCATATTTCAAGCCCAATTCAATCAGTGCCAAGGCAACCAGGACAGGAGCTCGTCCCAAACCAGCCACGCAATGAACGGCAACGCAAGCCTCTGGATTCTGTTGGTATCTGAGGAATACACGCAAAATATTATATATGAAACGTTTTAGTTCCCCACAAATCCTACTTTGTTTAGAATAAACTAGATTGCTTTAGGCTAAGCCCATAAATCTGGGTCTACGCTTACCGACAAGTTTCATTATCAACAAATGCAGTATTATTATAAATTGCTGATGCTGCCTCGCCAGTATCATTGAGATTATCATTGGCTGTTAGGGGAATTGTATCTGTGGCCCGACCTGATGCTGCTGATAGACTGGCTCTGGTTGCTGAAGTTCTTATTGCAGTTGCAGTTGCTGTTGTTGGTGGAACTGTTTTTGGTATGTGTCTAAGCGAAAATCGCTTATGTTTGTAGTAGGTAAGTGTGGCGCTTGTGGACTTTCTAAAACTAGGGCACAGCAGCAGCGGTATCATAAAATAGCACACGAAACGAATCATATAGGAAGGTAAGGTAAGTTCTCGTTGATCAAGTTTGATAGCTTACAGGTAGTACAAGTGTTGTATGGTGGGTGGAGTTTGAATTTTTCTTTTTACAAAACGAAAACGTTGAGAGAAATATGATAGAAGGAATGTGCAGAAGTTTTGATTTAACTAAAATCTGTACAGCAACTGATAACTGATGAGCATTTAAAAATTATACGGTGTTAGCAGCTAAGGCATTTGCGGGGTCTACAAGCGGATTTTTATATATCTTTTGAATGTTCTTCTCTTTAATTGTGTGGATCATTTTTTTACAGCTCATTGGATTTGGGGCTAGCGCAGCTTATCGATTCTGTTGGCTTTTCTTTTGGCTTGAATTTAGAAATATTTTGGTTTCTTTTGATTATGTGGCACGAAGCAATAAATAATACTGAATAAATTGATAAAAATCACTTGAGGTATTATTTTTTTTGTATATTCGCATATTCATCGAATACGATTTATGATATCTTGGAAAATATGTTTTCAATAAAATAATATAATTCGATTACACATGTCTAAGCTAAGATTGTTAATGGAATAATTTGTACTGGAGCTGTGACGTAAATGTTAATTTTTAATACTACTAAAAAACTTAAAGCGCATTGAAATACTTGTTAATGGGGGTTAATTTTAAACAATGATAAGTTCTACATATAAATAGGTTCAGAGCTCCAGTGTAATTGTGAATTATAATCAAATGTTAAACGCTCAGAAAGAATTAAGTAAATAATCTACGCAAATGCAAGAGCGTTGGCATTTAACTTACTTATCCTTTAAGACCTCAAACCACTCATCAACGACTTGTTGAGGCGGGAAGGTGCCGTCCTCAAAGGCCAGGTCCTTGACAGAAATGCCTTGTGTCTCGAGCTCGTCGGTCTTATAGCTGGGCTCGCACACACGCACCACAGTGTTGACATTGTTCTTTTTTAGCTCCTACAATAAACGACATACAGATTAGAGGTTTTTCGGACTAAGACAATTCAAGGGCTTACCGTAATGTAATGGTTAATTGTTATGTCTGATGGTCGATCGGTGATTAGGAACTTCATGCCCTTGTACTCAATTAGAGCGGGGGCTGGGCGCAGATCTTTTTGACGCATGGTGATGCTCATAAACAATTACAAAAGCAGTTCTGAAGGAGTTAATCTGACTCGTGTGCACTTATGTTAAGTCTGTTACTTTCTTACAATCTTGAGGTGTTTTTTGTTTGGTTTTCACAAAGATTTGATTGGTTTTTTTAGCGGAAGTAATTTGATTTCTAGATTAAAAATTCAGCGTGTTAGAGGCTTACAATTGAATTCTGTTTAAGTTAAAGTTATGTATAAAAAATAAATATAAATATAATTAACTCCGTTTTGTATCGTATGCTTAAATGTTTTACACCGAAACACAAACCTAATGTATTATTTAAGTAAAATTATGTTAATTTTTTAATTTAAGTACAATTGTGGATTTTTTCTTCTATCACAAAGAAAATCAATGAATTTTCTGTGACCTAAAAATGATTCCCTGTTAAGTGTCACACGCGTTTTAAGTTAGCAAAAAAATGATTAGGGTTCAGTTTTAGTTTTGTTTTCGAAAATATTTCAACTTTTTTTTCAGTTTCGTTGTTATAAATTAAAATATCTCCTTGCCGTGATATGATCTGCGATCACTGCGATGCTAAAAATTAAGTTTTTTATCTTTCTCTCCCATAGATTGACAGACTTTGGATAATCGCGGCTCCTTGCCGTCGAGCTATATCAGCGGTATTTAGCTGATTATGATCCGCACCACTTATCAACGTCGACTTCCGAAGAGGTGAATGTGTTCACTCAGGCTATCACCGCCTTGTTTAAGGATTCCTTACCTGCAACGAGTAAGACATGAATGAGTTTAGTTCCAGACAAATCTGGTGTTAGGCAGTGCAAAATTCTTGGTTGGGTTCTCTTTGTTCACTCAATTGAAAACAATTCGTGGGAAACTAAAAAACAATTTAGCTCAATTACACGCAATGAAATAATTGAGACTTTCGCCATTTTTTGCCTCACACGCTTCATTGCTCCCTTATCCACGAGGTTCTTGAGGACGGGTCAAGTCGTCAATTGTCCGGAAAGGTCATTGCGTTCAATTCACAGTAAGTCAAGTGACCTTTTCGTTGCCACCCACACACCCGCCAGCGCAACTTGAGCCAATTAATTAAACGAAAAGTCAAGACCCTTGGCGTAGAAAAATAATACTCACTTTTTATTTGTGCTGTGCCTGGCAGTATTCTGCACTGTCTAGATGAAACTCCATAGATGTGGGAACAGGTCTAACCAACTGAAATTTAAAGTAAATTTATCAAAAACTTATTTTAAATGTTTATAAATAACATTTTAATGTTTATATATAAAATGTTTATTATTGCTAGTAGTAGCATTTTTAATATGGATATTTATGCAAAAAAAAAAAAAAAATAAAAAATAAAAAAAACGTATAGTAGTACTTTTAGGAAATGTGGAAACTTTTATCAGCCTGACATTTATCTCGGAAGAAAATTAAACACAAAATACGGAAATATTTCAAGTGGATATTTTAAAACTTTTAAATTGGGTCGGCCGTTTGCCATCTCACCGAAAATTAAAAATATTTCCTAAAAGCGATCCAAGATAATTTCTTCTCTTTTCCAAGAACATTTACATTATTTATATTCCGTTGTTGATCGTGAAAAACATATGTATTAAATGAGTTCACAAATAACGACAGAAGCAGAACAATGATTGTATAATATGTATTTCACATATATACGTGCATATCTACACAAGTGCGATAACTCTTTAAGCAAATATTCCATTTTTTGCGAGCTCTTTTCGCACCGTGTTTATTTTTGCATTTTTGACCTAAGGTAGACGAGGTGTTTCTATTGAAATTTAGCCAGTAATTGTTAACCGGAAAGTCATTCGGATGTGGTATACATGGAAGAATCCATTATGGAAACCGAACGATACACAAACGCGTGGAACTAATTAAGAAGCTGGTGCCAAAAAAAAAACAGAAATAACTTCTTGTTGATAGAACTTAAAACTTTCACTTGTTGTTTGTATGCACCTAGAACACACCAGTACATACTAGAAAACACTGTCTGAGTGTTTACCTCATGACGCGTTAGACAACAACACTTTTGTTGATGCTATTTCCCAGTCGGTTTTTACTTTTGACTTATGCAATGTATTTTTTGTTTTTTGCGTCTTTGCGAAATTGAAAAAGTCGCACAACCGAATATACAAATTTACAAGTATGTACGTATTTTTATATATATTTGAACGCGATAATGCAAAGCAATGATTATTTGCTTGTTACGATAGGGATTTTGTAATTCGTCGATATGAAATTTCGATTAGATATCGGCAGAATTTGCTGCCAAGACGCTAATCGGTTTCATTCGCGGATTGAAGAGCACTTTTCTCTTTGACTTTTAAGATACCACTACGGATAGACTTTCGTCTTCTAACTAAAAATAATCGAAATTACCAATCGTTAATCGCCTGTGATGCGGCGAGACAGGATCTCGATTAGGTATCGACAAGTGTCGATTCTAAGACGTTGATCGATAACGATTACCACACTTAGGAGACGCGTATTAATGCGCGATGAGCACTCTCTCATGTTTTGCTATCGACTGGCGATTGTCAACTCGTCGCCGGCCATTTGTAGGGCCGCTCTCGCCGACAGTGTTGCTAACTTAGCAATTTCACTTCCAACTTGATTGGCACTAAGAAACATATACAAACAATAATAATCATAACCATTTTAAAATTAACAAATCTTTTGGATTCGCTTATAAATAAATAATAAAAATACTAAACGAAAATAAATCAACAAATCAGAGTTATGTTGCTTTTTTAAAGAAATCTAGCTATTCTTATAAGTCAGTTTTGCTCTAATTGACGACCGAGAGTTGACAACACTGCTCGCCGGCAGTAATTCTCCAATGTCGGAGAGGGCAGTGAGAGTCGCGATGCTCTCCCCCATGACGCACTTCTCTCCAACCAGCGGAGAGGTTTGGACAGCCCCACCCCATCTACTTCCCATTAAAAAGTATTTCACAGTCTGCTGCATATTTAAAGCTTTTCAAAGGGAATACAATGGAGGACAAAATAAAAGATTCAAGTTTAAAATGCAAAGTAAAAGCAAAAACTTAAAAAAATTGTATATTTTGTTTATTGTAGGCGTTATTCACTAGAACCTCGGTGTTCAATCCCAATGCTATTAGGCTTCTAAAGTTTCCGAGATCTTGAAGCTCAAAGGGACGAAAAAAATACAATTTTTTATCTAGGAAAATGCAAAAAATCCATTATTGGGTCGGAAATGCTTGCTTCTATCTGTAAAATATTTTTTAACAAAAACAAAATATTCTGGTGTGACAGTTCTTATACTCAACAATAAAATAATAAGATACTACTATTATCTTGACCACAGCTGTATTTAAAAGTGTAATATATATATTCTACACAAAAATAAAATTGTGTTATGACATTGCCTAACAAACACTTTTATTAATGGCCAACACGAAATGTAATGGTTCGATATTCTTCTAAATGCTATAAATATATAACCCACTATAAAAGTGATGGACAGCTAGGAAATATTGAATTTCGAATGGGTGGGAAATGTATCAACCTTAACTGGCAAAATCTGCAAAATGTCATTAATTACAATAATTTATAAGTTTTTTAAACTTTTAATACTCTTAGGCATTTTTGTATTTATATCATGTATTTTTTGTTGTGGCCAATTAAACAACTTTTTAAGTGCACAAGCGGCTAAAGAAAGTTTCGCAGGCAGATACAACATTGCGGGATACCAAGGTCAGTCGTTATTTAAGGGCAGTAAACAAAGCTAAATGCGGTTTATTATAAACACATTAATGAAGGCTAAAGCGCACACAAACATGTAACTTAATATGAAAATAGTCTTACATTTAAAGCAGTTGAACCTAATCAAGATGTAGGCAAATCGCATGACGGCACTAATACCTAATTGTGGCTATATAGTTACATCATATGTATATATGTTTTCGTTACACTTGACTGCCCATCGATAGGCAAACATGTTTCCAACATTGCTGGGTTCTATACATTTTTTTACAAACGATTAATCAAGTGAGATTCCGGTAGTACTTTTGTAGGTCTTTTAAATAAAAAAGCTGAAAAAATAAAACGTTGTTTCAGACAATTTACATAAAAGGTATTTCACTGGAAGATTTTGAAGTCTTCCCAAATGTATGCCAAATCTCGTTTGCAATTATCACAAAAGCTGTTAAGGGCAAAGCCGCAGATTAAAACCACCTTTTCCTTTTTGAGGTAGCAGATGTGTGTTGTCTGAGTGCAAAGTTGATTGGACTTTTACGAGACAGGACCAGACAACATAGACAGCAAGCAGACAATGGATAAACAAAGAAAGAAATCTAGAGGTAAGAAAACAAAATTAAACCCAAAAAAAAGCAATTGAATTCAGTTTCCCCTTTTTATTTTGTAGCTTTTAGGTTCTGTTTTGGGACTCATTTTTCAATAGACTGCAACTTCTCACGGGAACCATTTAACGAATAATCGCTTTTTTTGCAAACGCAATAGCGTTGTAAACACATTGAAAATGACTACAGGGAAATGTGATGAGGGTAACTGCCATTCAAGCCTCAACTTACCAAACTAATGTCTGTCTACAGGTGTCAATAAAACCAGACGTGCTGAGCCAAACAGCAAAGCAAGACATAATGCAGACACACACTGTACACAAAAAGGGATATGGTTGAGAGATTTACCATAATTTTTGTTTAATATTAAAAAAATCTGTAGACTATACAATCGTTGAGGAATATTATCAAACAAATAGGAAATGGTTTAAAATTTGTTTTAATGAAATCATAACCCTTTGTCTGAAAACTACACTCGTAATATTAGAACTGAGCCCAAAATGGTTGGGTACAACAAATAGTAAAAAAATAGGGAAAATACTATTAAAAGCACAAACAGTCCCCTTACAGCTAACTAAATCTTTGTAACTGCTACATACCAATCCATTAAGCTTCAGTAAGTTTTGTTGACCTTAGTTAATTAAACAAACCGCCCATTTACCAGTGACACACTCACCCTTAGATCAAGAAAGTATAATAAGTATTATTAAGAGACCAAGGAAAAAAAAGACCTCAAAAAATCCGTCCGACAATATTTCGTTTCGTGCGCGACTAGCGACTCAAAATAAGACTGAGTCCAAGTTACGAGTTATTGATTTTACGGCTACTAATGGAAGTGGGGATGGATGCCCATCCCCCTTCTATTCTTCTTCGTTATTTCGCCATAATGGAAATTTTGAATTTGCCCCAAAGCTTTCCTGTGTGCATCGGCCAGGAGATGAGCAGGAAACGGAAACTACTGGGGTAACTAGAATTCAACCGTCTTTTAGTTGCCAAGTGGTCGCTGTTTTTTTGTGACGCACTAGGCGGCTTTCTTATGCGTCATCGTCTTGTTTTTGTATAGAGAAACAGCTGGTGCTGTTTGGTTCTGATAAAAGCAAAATATAAACAATCTTGTCATGTTATTGCAATTATCAAATGCATGTCTCTCTCACAAATTGCATGTCCTTCAAGGTTGATTTAGAGGCGAGGAGAGTATGCACCAGCAAATTGTCGTTTTACTTGTTAGTTTTGGGTATTTTGCCTTAACCAAGGGCAGGGCAAACTATTGAGGACAAACCGAGCAACATTTATCGGACTATATATAGAACACGGGGTGGTGGTCGGTGGTCGGTGGGCGGTGGCATTTTTCCTATCTACCTCCCTTTGCGCCCACTGACGTTTGTAAATCGTATTGCATGCTTTGTTGTTTGTTTTTGGTCTATTTTTGGATATGACATGTATTGGTGAAATTCTGCACACAAGCTGCCAAAACGTGACAGCAGTAAAAATACAGCACAATGATATATAACCAGGAAAAGTAGTCTGTAACTTTCCAACTCTAATTATATTTCTCAAGTTCTAATTAGCGAGTGGTGACAACAAATGTGAGAACACATATTATTGGTTCGCAGTTGAGCTCCAGCTTGGGGCATTTAAGAAAAGCCTACTTTAAGACCCAATTAATTCCTATAAATCAAAATGACCTCAAACAAATTGGTGGCAATACATACTTTAACAATCATAAATTCGGCCACATATTTCCAAGAATTCAATTGAGTCCACACTGGTGTGGGTAAGAATAAAAAACTGGCAGAAGGCAGATAAATCCAGAAAACAGACAATCAAATGCAAACGCTTGGAATAAAAAAAGAAAGAATTGTACACAACGGCGTATACGTAATCGCTATCTTTATTCTATTCCAGGTTAAGAACTCTACTACAGTTTAGATAAGAAAATCGAATTTAGAAAAACTAAAGACAAGTCTATAAATTGATCGCCAAGAACAACCTACAATGTGTATATTATTTAAAAAAAAAGCAAATTATATTTAAAAACTTTGATATCTTATTTTACTAGGGCATCACAGGCAAAACCTGGTCTGGTTTTTATGAAATTCTACTTTAATATAATAGAAAACAGCTTTCAAATTATTTAAATCGGAATTACATTTTTAGAAAACCATTTTTTAACATAAATGTTCGTTTTTTAACTAACATAACTTTTTTTGTTGCCTTAACATGTGTTAAATTATGTAAATTATGACATCTTTCATACATTCGTTGAAAAAAGTTTGATAAACCGGATTATTAAAATTGTTTTTGCTTGATGATACGCCTATCTGTTTTGTTCTTGACTTTTTATCACGAATAAATAATGAGAGAAAATCAACACTCAAACTGAATCAGATTCTGTTTTGTTTGCATGGCCAGAGCAATATCATTGAACTTATTCAAGGACAGGAGAGTCGGAACGGAAATAAAACAGGGAGAAAAACAATTCAGACAGGAGAATTGATTCAAGCGGTGGTTCGTCGACGGGAGATTTCCAACCACCAGTTTGAAAATAATTGAACTCCTGTGGGCTTTATCAGTGCCTTTTTTATTGTTGCTGGGCTGATTCTTTGCCCTCTTTCAATTCTAATTGACGCAATATACTGATATCGATTAGCAAACATTGCGATAAAGATAAACGCAACCATGAAAAATGCGAAAAAGAGAGATAATATTAAATCACAACTAAACCTTTTTGGGTAACTGATTGTACAATTAATCAAGTTATAAGCTAAATTTTTCCGCGTCCACAATTGCTTAAAATAAAATGGCAACTGAGTCGGCTGCTTTTGCTCAAAAGAAATCTTTTAGGTACGAAATTTGTTTACTGTTTGCTCTCACATTGATATGATAAATCTGTTTAAACAGTATTCGTCTTCGCAGATTAGATATTAGATATCTCTCCGTGTATGTACATTGCGAATGACGCTTGGCCAAGGAGACTGCCAAAAAGAATTATGGGAAAATGGGGGCATTCAGAGCAGTGCTTTTTACTAGGGCATCGCAAACAGTTCCTGGCTTGTCCCAGTTCCATTCGAACGGTAAACTGGGTCAGCTGACAGTTACTTTCAACTGGCGACGACAGTTATCCAGGTAACTGGGTCAAATGAAAGTAAAATGCGTGAATTAACATATTTATTTTAGAGCGTTATTGCTTATTTTATGTGGCCTTCAATTCAGAAGGATTAAACAACTTAAATAATCCAAAGGAATAGTTAGGCCACCAAGAAGAATAATTTTATACATTTTCAGTAATCTTTTTTGTGCAATTTTGTTGCTCAACAAAGTGGAAGAGCAAAAGTTAAAAGAGGTTTTTCACTTCTTGTATTACATTTTAGATTGGAAACGAATTTTTTTTTAAAAAAAAAAAATTTAAAAATATGCATGTGATTATGTATTTGATTAATATTTACGTTTATTATTTTAATCAAACTAAAACAAAGCATTTTGGTAGAAAAAAAAATCCCAATCTAAATGTCAACGCACACATGCACACCCATTTAGTGGCTATGAATGTCTGGCTGTTCATTGTCGTTTGGCACAATTGTTAACAATAAAAGTGTATTATTTAAAATACTTGGTTTTAACGGGTCCCCACCCACACTTACCACAATTGCCATACACATTTGAGTATAACTTTTGAAGCTTTTTCGTTGCTTTTCGTGCACGAGAAAATTGAATTCACGTCCACACTCTACACAAACGCACCGCGAGACTCTCACAGACACAAATTCCACGAATGCAATTGGCTTTGTGTGGGTTTATTTTACGCCAACTATTGCTTTTTTTTTTAAATTTTAATTGACTGGGTCTTTAGTTCATTGTATTAAAAGTGTTTTATTTCAAATGTAATTGCAAATAGTTGATTTTTTAGCGACATTAACGCAAATTCGTCTGCTGCTTAACCTCAAAAGTTCTCTGTCACACACAGACGCACACTCACACTGTCAACGCGGGGCGGAACCAATGGGTTTAACTCAACAAATTTCACTTAATTCGTGGTTGAACGGATCTTTTAAGTTTCCAGCACGGAATTGCACAATTAACTTGAATAGCCACAGATTTCAAGGTGTAATTCACTTTAATTCGGAGTAGACGTGATTCCTCTCGAAAAAAATCTCTGCAAGTGTGGCCAAAGGCGGGTTACTTAATTATTCTTAGCGATAGTTTGTTTGCGATATCTTTTAATCGATGACACTACAGTGGAAACGCTTTAAAAACGAAATGCTAACTAGAATATTATATTTTGATTTTTGACTGTCAAAACAAAATTAAGCAGCTTAAAAAAATTCTCTCAATTTAAGGTGTAATCATGTTATCTTAGAAAATAAGGTTTAAAATTATCCCATTCACACCGCCTACATTGGATTAACCCAACTTAGTCTAAAAGAGTGCCCCTATTATTTACTTTATTATATTTTTGACTGCGAGCGGCGATCTACAGGCTTAGTCATTCCGATCTATTGCGAAAAACAGTGAATAACAATTCCCAATAAGTCTATATATAATTGCGAAAAGGTAAAAATCGTCGAATAATCGTTGAGGGGAATGTCCAAGCGAAAGGCCGAGGACACAGAAGCTGAAAAAATGGCAACGGCCGAAAAGGTTCCACAGGTAAGGGATAATCTAAACTAACTAAAAACCAAACAAAAACTACCGGTATAGTTTTTTTTATTATTTGCACAGAACGATTATACCATTGGCCTCGTGGATCCTGTAAAGGATTACCAAAAGCTGATTGAAACTCGAGTGCAGGTGGACGAAATCGTGGACGATGATGTCACCAAGGAGAATTTCGATCGAACGGCTGCTGCGGCGCGTGACGTCATCTGGCGTCTGTTATTCGACGGGGCTGAAAACTTGCAGGAAAATGTTGAAAAGGCCACCCAGTTGCTGGAAGAATACCGCGGCGACGCCTGCTTTTATGATCCCACACCCTACAATGATTGGATTGTTAAGCTTAGGGATGAGGTCCTCAAGCGCGAACTCCTGGACTTTTGGCGCGATGTTCTGGTCAAAAAACAACTAGGTCCATGTTGGTCACGCGACTGTGATCTTTTCGATAGCGACGACACGCCCCCATTGGAATTCTACGCCCATGCCGGTTGTGAAGCTCCCTTTGCAGCAAGCTTGAAGGTTCGGGCCGCCCTGGAGGAGCAGTCTTCAATGAATCAGGATGAATTGCCTACCACTCCGGGCGAACTGAGTGCCGACGATGCCGCCGCTCTGTCCGGTGAATTTGAAGCCGTGCTGACCAAGGAGAACCCTCTTGAGGAGTACCGCACGCTGATGAAGCGATTTGTCCTGACCAAAATCATCGTTCCCGACAGCGTTCACCAGGCTAGCGTGAAGAAGATGGCCACCGCCGCCAGAGAGATCATCTGGAAGCTGCTCTTCGATGGTCCACCCACGCAGGAGGACCAGGACAAAGCCGCCGAGCTGCTGCGCGAATACAAAGGCGATGCTGGGTTTTATGGGCCACAGGACTTTAACGAATGGATTGTCACGCTGAGGGACGAGGTTCTCAACAAGGAGCTCCTCGACTTTTGGCGCGAGAAAATGGTTAAGCTGGAACTGGGTCCTAGCTGTGCACGTGATTCGGATTACTACGACAACGATGATCCCCTGCCACTGGACTTTTACGAAAAGGCCGGCTGCAAGGCTCCCTTTGAAGCGACTACCGAGGATTAGAGGTCCGTGTCAGACCTAAAACCTACACACTCATCTCAGATAAAAAACATTTTTAATGTAAAGAGCCAGACTCATAAAATGTATTCTTTTGGCAAAAACTAAATGTAATTTGGTAGGTCAACAAACAAAAAACATAAGTTAGTTGCATAAAATTTATTTTACTTATTTACAATAACAATCTTATCGAAATCACAAGAATTTCAAACTGCAAAAAGCATTTGTCATTACCTTAAAATGTAACAACTCTCGATTGTTAAACAAACACGAATAAAATTGTAAGACTTTATATTACTTTTGTGTACATTTTTTTGATAAAAATAAATTTATTAAAACCGAAATTGAAAATTATGAATCAATTAATTCAAGAGTTCTGAATGTCTTCATAAATTGAATCGTAATATTTTTGAACCCAGTTAGTAATAAAAGACAAACTAATTTCTTCCTTTTTTTGGCGACTCTTCATTTTAATAAACTGAAATCAAAATACTGTTGTTCTTTGCATAACGGGTATTTTATAAATCTAAATAAATATTATATTAACTAAACTCTTCAGTACAAAAAAATTTACTTATTTTTAATTAACATACTAACTAGATATTATTTTATTTTGACTCCTTTATCGTATGACTTTAAAATATCAGATTCGCTTATCAATTTGGTTTTGGTTTTTATAGATTCTCATTTAGAGATCATGTGTTAAATTCTGTGTTTTCTTGAATTCTTAAAGTAAAGAAATGTATAATCTACGCTGTCGTTTGCATGACAGTTTGATTATTTTCCATTGTATCACAAAAATCTTATATTAAAGATGGCATCTTTCAATATTCTTCGCCTTTACATTACAAAAGCTGTAATTTTCTGTTTTCTGTTGGGGTTCTTAATTAAAGAGTTTTTTAGTTCAATATAATGAGTTAATTCATAAAAATATAATAATACCAAATAATCACGACACAGTTTTATCTAGATACTTTTTTCATTGGAATTAAATCTTAGAAGTTAAATAAAGTTGCTTAAAGATAAATTGAATTTGGTTTATTGGAAACTAAAATTAACACGAAATACTTTTTAAACTAAACTATTAAATGCCGAACACAAAAAGTAACTATAATTAGTTTCAAAATTTTCACTTTCACTGACTAGAGAACATTTATCCATTTTCCGTTCTTGTTCCCATTGTTAAGGATTTCCACTGGTTCTTCACACAACACAAAACAAAATCCAAAATCCGGAATTGGAATTAAACACGTACAAATAAATCTAAGGGGCTTCCACAACATTTGGACAACGCAACGATAAATGAACCTTAAAAAGTGCGTCCTTAAAAAATACATATTGTTATAACGGTAAAAATGTGGAACCAGTGGTTCTCCCTGAGATTTCGTGGGCTTTTACCAATCAAAAGGCCTTACTCGGCATACAAAAGGCGGGATCGTGACTTTTTGAGGCCTCGTGAGCCCCCACCACCAATTCCACTGTCTCCACCTTCGCCACTCTGCCAGGACTTGGTCTTGGCCCGGAAGTATCGAAACTCGTCATTGTGCGCCGGTGCCAGCATGGGTACATATTGCCTCGGCTCGCATAGCTGACCATATAAGCCGAAGAACTCCTTGTAGCCATTGTGCAGGATGTACAGCTCCGGATAATCCAACGCCGGATAGTCGTGGGCATGCTGGCTCCTATCGTTGCTGCGCAGAAAGCGCAATAGCTTGGGTCCCCGCTCCGAGGAGAACTCGCAGTGGAACACGTAGATGCGACGATCCTCCTGATTGGTGGTTAGGATTGGAAAAGCCTCTTGTATTTGCCCACGAGTGTATAGGTTCTTGGCGCCCTGAATGTGACCGCCCATGAATTCGTAGGGGTAGCGACAGTCTATTATCTGATAGCCACCCTGGCTGCCCAACTGCTGATCGAACTCGCCATGTATTAGCCGGGCCAGAGTGTCACTGGAGATGGTCTTTAAATCACGATGTCTAATTCCTGTGATTAGGCAGGGCAAAGCACACGGCTTGCTGAGATCTCCAATCAAATGGGGCTCCTCGCCCAGGGCGCTCATGATTTCGGCATCGTTCATCGATAGGGCCTTCTTTTGCAGCTTCTTGACGGGCAAGTTTGTTCCTTTGTCCGTTTGATCCTCATCTTCAGGTTGATCGGAGGGGTACAAACTCATAGAGCGCCGCAATAATCGTGACTGCTTGGATGATTCCTTTGCAGGATGGTCCTCTGACTTCAGCTGTCCGCTCAGGAGAAGTTCTAGGTCATCGGGTAGTTCGAGATTTTGTTCCTCCGCCGACTCCAGCTCAAACATGTCCAGGTATTCATCATCGAGGGAATTGCCCGAATCGTAACTGGAACAAGAACTGCTGAAGCTGCTGAGCGTTCGCGATGAAACGCTGTTGAAGGTGTTCAGGGTCCTGGACGATTGGAGGCTTCTCTGTGTGGACTTGGGAGTGCCGTCCAGGCGAGTTACCTGCATGTTTTGGGACAACTCGGTGATGGGCGAAAGAATAACGCTGGCGGGAATGTGCCGCTTTAGCATCTTTTGCAGGGGAGTGTCCTGCGCAGAAGACCGGCGCCTCTTGGCCTGGTTCTCCACATCCTGAACATCTTGGCAATTCGAAGAACTTTTCCCCTGACCACATGCCCCCTCCTCTTCCTCTTCCTCCACATCGAGCATCAGCCGCTTGCTGGCCATCTGCAAATAAAAAATAACAGCTGTAAAACAGCTGTATTTTACTTTGTTTTATGTAAATACCTCTTATTCCCGAACTCTTGGCAGCTTTATCTTCTTATATGTTTAAGTCAAATACTGGATTTCAGCGTGCGCAGCGGTTGCTGTTGCCAAAGTTCTTAGGGTTTTCACGCTTTTCCGGGTAAACTTTATTGGCGCACTTTATAAGCTCAGTGTTACCAGGTAGCAAAAGGTATCAATTTCTCGGCTCAGATTGGCTCTTCGCCACCCGCCAATTTACCACGGCGCCATAATTAGCGCGCTTAATGTTTAAATTTAAAATTTTGTCGAGGTCTTTGCATGATCGTTAATGTTTTCGATGTCAAAGTCAAATCTGAAATTTAAAAACTTAATGGCATAAAATGCAAAGCAGTCTGCATAATGAACTCATCTTCAGTTGTATTGTTATCGCTCGTTTATACCAAATGCCAAATGCACTAAGCACACAGTGGAAATAGAGATCAGAAAAACCTGGGCACACTGGAAGTTTGTTTACTTCTACTTGTAAATAAAAAACACTTTTTAAACATGCCGGAATTCGAAAACTTTAATGTAAGAACTACAATTGATTGCAAACAAGGAGCAGTGCGTGCTGTACGCTACAATGGTGAGAAATCTTGAGTTCATTTTTTTAATTTGAGTCTTGACTAAATTTTTAAACATTATGATGTTTTATCAGTGGATGGAACTTATTGTTTGAGCTGCGGATCTGACAAGAAGATAAAATTGTGGAATCCAGTTTCGGGATTACTTCTTAAAACATATGGAGGTCATGCAGACGAAGTGACAGATGCTGCGGTAATATTTTTATTTTATTAAATTGTGTAAATATTAATTTGTTGTTGCAGGGGAGCTGTGATAGCAGCTATATAGTATCCGCCAGCTTGGACAAGAGCATTATCTATTGGGATGTGTCCACCGGTAAGTTTCAAACACCTGGCATCGAACTAAGATTATTCAGAGAAAAGAGTTTTTATTAATTAAATCTGTTAACCAATCTAGGAGCGCCAGTACGACGTCTGCGTGGTCACGCCGGTGGAGTCCGGTGCGTCTGCTTCAACGAGGACTCCTCCATTGCCATTTCCGGGGGCAGGGACAACGCCGTCATGTGCTGGGACATTCGGACTCGCCGTCTGGATCCGGTTCAGGTGATGAAGGAGGCTCGTGATTGCATCACTACGGTGGCGACCAACGAAAACCGAATCTATGCCGCATCTCTGGACGGTTGTGTGAGAACCTACGATATTCGGGTGGGCGAACTCACCTGCGACAAGGTGGGCGAACCGATTACTTATCTGGCTCAGACAAAGGATGAGCAATGTCTGGTGGCCGGCTGCCAGGACAGTGTGGTGCGACTCCTGGATTGTGAGACGGGCGGACTACTCTCCGAATACAGGGGTCACCGAGGCGATGATTATCACATCGAGTGCGGAATACTGGCGAACGATGCTCACATAGTCACGGGTTCCAGTGACGGAGACGCCTTTGTCTACGACCTGCTTGAAGGAAAAGTTCTGCAGCGCATTCGCATCAGTAAGCAGGTTTTATTTATAAGCTAAACTATAATCTACTTAATTGTTTACTGGGCTATCTTCTCCAGGTGATAATGGCGGTGTGGTCCACTCCTTAGCCACACATCCCAAGCGACAGGAACTGCTTTTCGCCAGAAGACGGGACATGTACGTCTTTTCCACGGATCTGCAGATCGAAGAGGAGCAACTATAATTTATAATTTTGCCATATAAATGCTCAGGCTAGTGATAGTTACTACAAATTAATTTTAACTTACATGTAAACGAATAAAGCCCTATATTATAATTTCATTCAGAAGTTTGTAACGCAATGAAGGCGACACTTTAAACCCCAGAAATTTATATAATTTTGATCATCATCACGATCCGAATCGAACTAGGCGTTTTCGTCGGTCTACTTTCAGCAAACCCATTTTAATGGAAATTTGAAAAGGGGTTGTATCATAAAAAAAACCACTGTCGACCCACCAATAGAAAATCATGTTTTTTTTTTGTGAGGGAAAAGGAAAAACCATTTATTTGACATAATTTGTTGTATTTTTTTGTTTTCATAGAGCATGAATGTATGTAGTAATATGTGGTTGTTTTGTATGATCTGGCTTATATATGCTTCATGTTTTCGATTCGTTACGTTTTGTTTTCCTTTAACTATGAACGGGCCTGCATAATGTTTCCTTAGTCAAATATTTCGAATGCGGACGCGTTGGCGATTGGGCGCTATTGACAAACTGTAGCTGCCTGCATGCGAGTGCTGCTCCCTTCATCATTCTCATAGTCTCTCTCCTTTTTGGGGGAAATGCGGGACGCCAAGCCGCGGCAACGCTGCGCGAAGAAGAGTTTCTTCAATTCGCGTGGGGTCTCAAGATTTGGCATCCCAGCAGGGACACTTGGTGTCGTAGCTGGCAGCTATGGGATCTTTTCGAAAATTCGAAAACTAACAGAACGCACAGCGTCGGCGCGGCTTAGCAAAGGGAGACAGCTGCAAGGCCCTCTCGCTCACACGTGCGCATTCTTAAATTTTTTGTTTTTAATGGGGATGTTTTGTGGGGAAAAAGGGGATCGAGGGATTCTTGGTTTAACTCTCTGAACTTGTCGTACTTATGTTACTAAAGCATATTAAATATGTATGCAAAGTATTTGTTTATTGTAGTTTAGTAGTAATATTATGTAATGTTCCGATACTTATGTTCGTATGTACTCTGCATGTATTATTTATATATGTTGTGGTAGGTATGCGTAATTTGTATATAATTTATATTTATATATATATATATATTTATATAATAGTTTATATAATAAACGATTTTCACTTGCTTTTAGTTCTCTGTATTTCGTTTTGCATTTTTTTTCTTTTCCATTAGATTGTTTTAATGTTTTTGTGTTTTTTGTTTTCGTTTTTTTGTTTGTTTTGTTTTGTTTTGTTTAATGTTTACCATCCACGCTCTGCACTCGCTTACATAATTAGACTTAAAATTTTTTTACACAAATATATCAACAAAAACTCAATAAGTTCCATTCAAAGTATATAATGTACGCCTATAAACGTTAAAATTAAAGATATGAAAAAATAATTTAAAAAAAGGTAAAAATTAATGCGATGGTTTTTATAGAGTTCAAGGAATCATCAATTAATTAAACTTGCTTAAACAATTTCGGCACCTCTCAACGTTCGTACTATTTTTTTTTTTTGTCGCAATCTTTCACTGCATGCATTTCAAAAAAATAACCAAACAAAAGTTTATAAATTTTATGTCTATTTTCTGTTTTCTTTTTTGTTTTGTACTCTGTTTTGTTGTTTCGGTTTCGTTCTTTTGTCGTTATGCTGGTTGCCTGCTGCTCTCTATTATGCTGTTGAAAATCAATTGTATTTTGTTTCTTCTGTTTATTCTAGTTTCTTAACCAATAAATGAACAAATGTTATGTGTAGTTTTCCTTTGCATTTAATTACAGTGGCTATATGTTGTGTGTTTTGTTGTGGTTTGTTGGCGTTCGAAGCTTGGAAAGAGAGGTCTGGTTGAGTTTCGAAATTAAATCATAAATATCCCAAAAATACAAAAATTTATTTAGGTCTGCTTGGTATATCTTCTTTCGTTTGTTTTGTTTTTGTTTTTCTTTTAGTTTTGTTTCCTTTTTTTTTTTTTTTTTTTTCCTCTGGCTAAACTCTTACTAATTTACATTCTTTTGCCTCTGCCTCTGTTTGGTAACAGTCTCTCTGCTGATGATGCTACTACTTTTACTGCTTACAATAAGGTTAAAGTTACTGCTACTATTGTTACTGTTACTTTTACTGTTACTGTTACTGTTACTGTTACGTTGCCGGGAGGCAGCAAAAGGAATTTGCTTAGTAAATTGTTGAGTGGTTGCTGTTTTTGTTGCTGCTGCTGTTGTTGTTGTTGTCGGTGTGGTTGTGGTCGTGGTTGCCTCCTGGCGAGCGCCTTTAATACTAGCTCGTGCTCCAGTTACAGCTCCTGACCCACGTTGGGCACCACATCTTCCTCCTTTGTTTGCTCCAGCCGCACTTAATAATCCCGATCCCGATCCCGATCCTGATCCTGATCCTGAACCCGCTCCCATTTTGGGGCCATTGAATCAGGACGACGGCAACTGCTTGGCCACTATAACGCCCGGTCGGCATTGCTTCAGGGCTGTGGTGATGGTCAGCTGTTGGCCACCGCCAACACTCCCATTGCTCCCGGTGATGATGGTGCCCGCCGTTGAGCCTGCGGTTAGATGACTGCCACTTCCATGGCCGCCCGTTGTTTGCACCTTGAAGATCGCCGTCGGCGTGACCGTGGTACTGCTGCTGCTCGTCGACACCAGACCGCCGGCATCCTTGGCCGTCTTGGCCGTAATGATCACCTGCTTGCTGCCGCCGCTGGTCTTCAGCTGGAGGAAGGGTCGCAGCTCCGCCAGCGCCGCATGCTGCTTGCCCGTGGTGGTGAGGGCCAGCGGGGCATCCTGCGCCAGCCGATGGTGCTGCAGCTGCTGGTGGTGCACTCCAGTGATCTGGTGGTGATGCTGCTGGAGATTCTGCTGCTGGCCAAACTTCTCCTGGCCGCCGCTGCCGTCCGCAAACAGATGATCGCCCTCCACATGCCGGATGGCCTGAACGATCGTCTCCAGATTCTGGCGATGCGGATGCTGATAGTGTGTGGTGGTCTGAATGGATGGCAGATCGTGCTTCTCCGCCTTCACCTTCACAATCTTCTCGTTGATGCGCTCCACCTCGACCTTCGGCGTGGCCTTGATGGCCGCCTGCAGGATGGGCTGCAACATCGCGGCACTCGACGTGCATCCTCCTTCGGCATAGGCTTTGGCAATTGCGTTCACGTTCACCTCGTTCTCGGACTCCGTCGAGCTGTTCGACGACAGGATGACCTCCTCGTGCACCTGATCCTCCGTAATGATCTCGGCGGCGGCATCAGCTTCCAGTTCCTCGATGCTGGAGCAAACCACCACCTGCTGTTGGCCGGTCATCTCGTCGATCTCCACGTAGGAGACTGTGCCGCCCAGTTCCTCCAGATCCTCGCTGCGGACAAAGTTGTCGGTGTGCTCGATGACCTCGCGTGGAATGTAGGCGCCACTATTGCCGCCGGATGCGGCTGCCACCGCTGTTCCGGGCGGTGCGGTGGCCACGCTGTACAGCTGACGCTTGATCATCTGCAGCTCGTCCTCGAGCAGTCGTCGCAGGCTGCGCTCCTTCTCCAGCTGCTTCTTCATCTCGTGCAGTTCCTTGGCCGCCAGAACGCTGGCGTTGCTCAGCTTGGTGGCCGCCGCTCCGCCGGCCGTCAGCAGGGTCATCGGTTCCGGGGACATGGAGCCCAGGCCTTCGTCCGAGCTGTCGCTAATCGCCTGGATGTTGATCACGTTGTCGGTCAGCTTGCGCTTCTTGATGGCCACCGCCGTGGAGTTGCCCCCGCTGGCACTCGTCGAGTCGTTGTAGTTTCCCCCGGAATTGGCACCACCTCCCTCACCGGATCCTCCGCCGCCGCCGCCGCCGCCAGCTTCGTGCTCGCCCACCTGCCGCTTCAGTTCGCTGTTCTGTGTCAGCAGCTGCGTCTTTTGGTTCTCCAGCTCCACGATGTATTGAAAGGTCTGTTGCAGGATGGCAGCCTGGAATTCAAAATAATAAAGGGTTAATCAATGTTTTTAAGTCACATACATATAAACAGTCAAAGTTTGATGCAAGCAAAGGGTTAATAGTCTAAAACATTCTTCCACAAAACTATTAAAAGCGTATAATAACAACGACTTTAGTTAAATTCATTATATGTATCATATTTTTTAAATTTTTAAAAAAATATTAAGCCACAAAAAGTGTATTAAAAAATTTCGGAGCAATATTAACCTCTTAATTTTAAATTCCTTTCCATTTCCCTTTTTCATTTAGTGTAATGAGTAGTACCATTATAACTCGTATGGATTAAGGGTTATGTGTGATCATTAAGATGAGGAAATTATTAACCCTTTAATCGCGCCCTATCTTTTCCCCTCCCCACAATAAAAGTCATTCAGAAGACCCACACATAGGGAATCTCCAGCTGAGCGTAGGAAAAGAAGAAAAGGGAGCAAAAGGAGATAAAGAAGGAGGACAAAGACGAAGCATAATTGCCGAGAGCAGACTTAATTGCAACAACACACAGCACATAAATGGCATGGCTTGTTGCTTTTGCATTTTGCCTTGACTGTTTTTGTTTGCCTTTCTGCGATGTTTATAGTAAATAGTGTAGTAAAGCTGGGAACCTCGCTTCGCGAAAGGGTTAAGGAACTCGTGTCCTTCAAACTGCGCGCGCTCTTCAATTCGTGATTTGTGCAACACTGGCCAGCAAAAAAGGCGTGGGAAGTGATTGTGGGAAAAGAGAAATGTGGATCGAGGATGCCATTACAACGAAAATCTCGCTTAGAAAGTGCCAAAGGCTGCATTCGAAAATTCGCGTTGGCGACATGTTGGGCCACATTCAAATTTTGTGTAACTATGTTAAATATGTATAAGCATTTACCAAAAAAAAAAATTTATTTTTAAAATTAAAAAAAAAAATTATGGTTCAAATTTTCGAAATAAATTATAAACAAATAATTAGTATTAAAACTTTAAGTCAACAAAGTTTTCAAATTTGTAAATGCAAAAACTTAAGATCCTGAATTTTTTCTTAAAAAACTCGATTTGTACTCATGCCAATGGAATGCAAATGCATTCTTTATGCTTTGATTAAAAAACCATAAATCTTATGCTGCTTTAGTGCATTTTTTTGTTGTTGTTTGCTGCTGAAAACTTGTTTCGGTTTCGGTTTGTTGTCGGAGGTCACTACTAAAAAGCAATAATAACAACTAAAAGATAGCCATGCGAATCAACAACACCACCATGGGTCTGCCGGCATCGCACAGCTGCTCTTGCTCTCTTTCTTTCTCTCTGCCACTCTTCGACGATATTTTCTCACCCTCCCTCTCAGTTGCACGCCATCTGTGTATTTGTTGTTCTTCCAACTAGCAAGAGAGCGAGTGAGAGAGAGAGCTTGTTGTTGTGTGTACAGTTTTCTGTCGGTTTATTGTTGGTTCCAGCACCCAGGCGGTTTTCAATCTTAGACCCCGGTCCCCCCTTCATTCCATCTAAATCTTTCTATTTCTATCGCAGACGGCGGCATTGCAATGTCGTGCGCATATCGTATAACAAAAAGGCAACAACCACAAAATAAGTATAAATCACATAGCATATTTAAGTTTTCTAGCTGTGTTTTTTGTTGTTGTAGACAAAGGTCGTTCATTGACTTGTCTATTGGAAATCGTCTCAGACTTGAGAACTATTGGAAAGATAAAGTAAAGCGGGAATGTAGCCGCTTTGTCTGTTAAAACGGTCTAAGCAGAGAGAAGACAGGGATTATTTTTGGATATATGTATGTACATGTGTGCATACATATCTACATATTTAGTAGAATAGAATATATTTACATGTTTTTAAAGTAAATTAAAAAATATTAAGCGCTATGCTAGGTTTTCATTTCTACAAATGCCTATTGCTAACATTTATTTTATTAATACAAGTTGAATTAAATGAATACTCATGTATATCGCTAAGCTTGTATAAAACTTAATTTATTGGGCGAGTTCTAAATTTGTTTATATTTCTACCTAGAAAAGTAGAAAACTTAAAAATTTCATGTCCAATCAGATTCTTAAAGGAATTGGTCTTTACTTTGCTTATCAGATGGAATGCACTTGTTTTTGGGTTTGATTGGAATAATTTTATGCCTTATATGGAATATTTGCCTATTCCCGCGTCATATGGACTCTCTTCCCTTTCCATCAGCAATCATTCGAGTCTACTAGCCGGCAAGTTGAGGCCTTGGCTAATAAGAAAATGTCGTTGCCTTCGCAATTATAGTTGTTTTTGTTGGACAAATGCCGGCAAGTGAAACGAAAAGAAAATCCACCACCGTTTATATCAGTATGTGTAAACAAAAGGCAAAGCCAAAAAAGCAAAAGCATAAACAAAGCAAAGAAAAAAAAACCAAAAAGACGATCAAACTGGCGGGTCCAACAAGAATCCAATTCAGAGCGCACACAAGCCAACCAACAAAGCAACAACACACAACAGACGGCCGCTTTTGCGGTGACTGTACTTTTTTCCAACAAGAAGCCAGCAACAGTTCCAATACGAAAAGTTTTTCAATATTCGCCGGCGTCGTCGTCACAAATGTTGCTAGAGAGAGCCGCTCTCTCGTTCTCTTTCAGGTAGGGGTAATTGTTTGACGTTAGAGTGAGATAGCTACATGCTTCGTTGGGTTTTGCCTTCGTTTCATTTCCACTCGTTTCGCGAAACGGAAACCAGACGTAGCGAAAAACATGTGGGCCCAAGCTTTTACGGCCTCTCCCACGTGCTCTCTCCGTCAAGCTTCCAGTTATTCCCGATTGGAAGTGGCGTTCTCTCTCTGTCTGACAGCTGACTTCTATAAATGGCGCGTCTGTTTCTGCCGCTCTCTTGTTGGCGTTGTTGTTGCAGAAACGCTGTCGTTATTGTTGTTTGCCCACCCTACAACTTGCACTACAATTTCGTTGATTGAATAAAAGGAAATGCATAAAAATAGCAAAAACGCCCGCCGGCACGAGAGAGAATTCGTCATCAGCTGAGCTGGCATCTGAAAAGCGGCCTACGCTCGTATTCGTGTATCGGTGTCTGCAGGGCGTAGCGGTAAATAAACTAAATGTTAAAATCATTTACAGATGAGAAACGAATCACTTCAATACTATTTTATAACTAAAAAAAAAGCTGTTGGTCTTTCAATTTAAAAAAAAAAATTTTACGGTGGCGATTTTATTTTAGTTATTTGACTTTTTATAGCATATTTCTTGCGCTGATGAGCTTATAGTATATATTTTTATAGGTTTTTTGATAGTAGAGTGGGAGCGTTTTCGAAGAGGGAAAAAATGAGAGACCACCCAAAGAAAAAAACACCCGGAACGATGTCCGGTTCGCTTTGATTTTTGATACGAGGGAGCAGCACAACCACCAAAAATGCACCAGCACCCCACTTTCCCTTCCTCCCCCTTAAGCTTCATTGTTTTTTCGTATTTCCTTTTGTTTTTACTTTTTTTGGCTACGTGCGTGCACGCATGTTTCCAAGCGAGGCGCTTTTCAGCTGATAAAATGAAAACAACCAGGGAAAATCAATTTATTTTTACTACTTCGGTGGTTGCGCCCCGCCCCAAATACTAATAAATAGCTGAACGAACCTCAAGTTTATCTGTCTGGCCAATATATAAGCAGCATTAATGAATGATAGTTTCAAGGAAAAAAGTTATAACAATATATTATGATTTTAAGTTAAATTTATTTAATTGATATACATATGTATAGTTTTTAAAACTGTATGGGGTGTCTCCGCAACACCAGTTGATTTGTTTAAGCAATTCTTTACCCCTCTTCAAACTGATATTATTGTTTATTCTCATTATCTACCATCTGCCGGTTTATTTTATTTTTTTGCTTTCTGTTTTATTGCGCCGCACGTCAGCGAAAATAAGAAACAATTAACGCTACGTTCTCGCTTATCTTTTGGCTCTTCACCTGCAGATGACGATGACAGGTGTGTGCGAAGCGCCACGAAAAGAGAAGTGAAAAAAAACAAGTCAGCTGACTTTAAATTTTTGTGCAAATTTTTGGATCTATGGCCACGGCAAACAAAAGATAATATTATAAAATACAATGGTATATTGTAAAACAAATTTAAAACAAAATAGTTTTGATCATGAACAAATAAACTTTGTAATACAAAAACTTGTATTTTTTTCAATATTATAGCAAAAACCTGATTGGGTATTTGTTAGTATCGCAGACCTGCTAAAATTAGCATCCAAACATTTTTGGTCATAACGGCACCCGAGTCGAGTTGCACGAGTCATAAAATCCACTAGAGAATTGTTGTTTTCCGTTGCAAAAAATGTGTGAGCGTGAAAATAGGCAAAAACAGCTGCGATTTCTACCGGCTTACTCGAAACAACACGCATACATGCGACTATATAGAGGAGATATGGATATAGAATGAGAGATATTATACACACCCACAGATATAGGGGCTTTTCTTCGGTTCACTCGCACTCGCTCTTACACCCGCTCTCGCTCTCTCGTTCTCCCACTCCCACTCAGCTGCTTTTGTCGGGCGCCAAACATGTGTTCCCACATATCCATATGCATGTGTGTGTGTATATTTGTGGGATCCCAGGAGAGCATTTTTGGGTGACAACATCGCGCGTATTTTGCGGTCAAGCCAAATGCAACAAAACGGAGGCTATTTTTAAACACCCATATTCACTTCCCCCAATCACTCCCCAATTTTCCTGTGAAAACTGTGAAAGTCTCTCATTTGTAGTGTCTACAAAAAAAATACATGTGGATATGCCGTCATCGAAAACCGGGGGAAACCCAAAAATATATTACAATTGTTACCGATTCGACTGTTAAATAATAAACCTAATAAAAAAATACTTGAGGTCTACAATTTTGAATGACGCTAATATCTTTCTGATACAATATACCCCATCTTACTAAACAAAATAGGTAAACAACATACATAAGATTTTTGGGAATAAAAATAAAGATTTCCGAAGAGACATACTGG